GAACTGCTACTCATGCGTATTAAAACTTAGGATTTTCCTCACGATTTTGCCAATAGATGTTAACAATGAGATATAAACTGATCGAGAAGAAACTTTGAAAGCTCAGAAGGTGTCCAACAAAGTCTTGCATCTCTAACTGACATCTCAGGACAGTCCCCTCCAGCTCCTTTTCATCTCCCACCCCTGCGTACTATTGTTAGACGCAGCACGCTGGGGTTCAAGATGCTGAGGTGGGGGAGCAGACTGACCAGAGCTGCCCTTTGAAGGTGCAGAGACCGTGCCATGGTCCCGAAATTTAATCCTGCAACAAGAAGATGATGAGGTCAAAATTGTTCGACTGATCGATGCGCTTTGTCTTCTTCACAGCAATGATTCCAGTCGATCGTCCACTGTCATTCGTCCTCGTTGTGGCCCACCGCCTTTGTCTCTCTCGAGGACGAACCTTGATCGCTAGAGTACCATTCGAATGAGCTAATTTATTTAAGCTTTGTCCCGCGAAAGGAGATCTTTGGGTAAGGTCCTTCATTGAAGCGGTACTCCACGGAAATGGGATTAACTTGAGCGAGACAAAGACGAAATGCCGCAACAAAGACGAATGGCAATGGACGATCGACACGAATCATAGGCTTCAAAGAAGATGGAACGTGTAGAATTGTTAGGCGAATATAATTTTACATGACTAAGTCGTGCTACAGGCTCAAAGATTAGGGAGAAAATGACTGAGAGGCCATTATGTTGAGCTTTTAGAAGGCGACTCATTAACACTTACGGGTTCTTGAACCCACAACCTCTGCATCTCTAACTGGCATCGCTGGACGGTCTGCTCCACCTTCTCTGCATCTTAAACCCTCAATGTGATGCGTATGGAAAGGGCACGCCATGGGCTAGGGGCGGGGCGGACCGTTCAGCATTTCGGGATCGAGATGAAGAGGCCATGGGTACACGGTCCCGAAAGGGTTTACCAACAGTCGAGGCAATCATCTATTCAGCTGACGATGTGGTTGAAAGCAAAAATAATGATTGAGCTACTTTTATGTTGTTGTGTCAATATAGACTTTCTTGGGGAAACTTTAGTTAGGTGTCAGGTAGTTGATAGCATTCCATCTCAGCTTATTTGATAAATTCTTGTAGTTGGAAAAATACTCGTATAAAATTTTCTCAGGACAAAATATCGCAATGATCTGTATCCATACAAACGAAAAGAGTTGTCACTTTTATCGCTTTTGCAGCAGTGTCATCATATAACATATATATGATATCTTATAACCAAGGATTGAGAAATAAGTAAAACACTGAGCTTGGTCAGAAGCTGAACCCATATTTCACTTTTATCGGAGGTGCATGCTAACCGCTAATACCGAGGCTCCTGCCCTGCTATCACTTCTGAATTCGAAGCACGCTTCTTCAAAAAGTGTACAACTTAAGATCAACTCCTGATGAGGTCCAGAGTTTTGCATAGCCCTTAACATTCTCGGGTTCTCCAGATTACACTTCAACTTATTCTCACCCCCACCGCTCCCCCGCCCCTTCTGCTCATTTTTTCCAGATGCTTATGAAGTGTAATTTCATTATATTGGAATCAAACAAAAGGCTTACAGTGGTATGGACACCGGCCTCTTATGAACTAGTTATCAGTGCAGACCATTACTTGGCCAATATACGTTCCTAGTTGCTTATTTTCCTTTGATTGGTGTTGATTTGATTCAAACTAGAAATGCTCATTGTTTCAGCATTGAGCAGCTTTGTAGGAATTTTTCCCTCTCAACAGGTAGAGCCTAACACCTCGTAGCTTGTGGTCGTGCCCCAATTATACGTGCTTATCACCTTAACACATCAAACTTGTTAGACGTTGGTTGCTGACATTACGATAATTTCTTCTTTATGGAAAAAGTGGTAGCAGAGGGTGGCTTTGGTGATATAGTGATAGTGGTATAGCGTGCCATCAAAAAGGTAAAACGCACATTCAACTCGTCTTAAATCGTAGTTTGCGCAGAATTTAATATACTTAGGCGAAAACTAGTCGGTGGTGAACAGCTCTTTTGAATTGCTGTATCATAATCTAAGCTCAACTCTACTGAACAATGTAGGAGCTGATATAGTACAGAAAGCTTCGCCGACGACTCAGAAACTAATCATGCCTGAAAGCGGAAGATTCAAAATCCTTAGTTGTTAAGCATCTTATCAAAGCATAGTAAAGGAGATCCATAGAACAACGTCCTACTAGCTAGCGCGAGGTCCGCCGAGCGTCGCAGATGAGGCACAGCCTGTTAATCTATTTCGCTCTTCTGAGGAGAAATTATGCTAGGATGGAGCTACTTCAAAAGAAGATCAGAACTTTTCTCTCGGCCAAGTATGGCCAAACAAATGCCGAAGTATTTGTGGGAAATTACTGCGTCCGTAGAAGTATTCCTGAACTTCACCTATGACTTTAGTCATACATTCAGAGAGTTTTGTGATACGATTTCACCTGTGTCAAAAACGGAAAAGTCACCATAGCCACCTTTTAGTGCAAACCCAAGTTTGAAATATTTCAAAGAGCTTTTCCTAATTCCCATTTTCTGCTGAGCATCGTCTATCCTAACATGAGGTTCATTTCCCATCTTTCTTCAAAGATAGATCGATAATTGGGCCATTTTCGTTTGGTGGAAAAGAAAGAGTATTACGAACTTTATGATGGCAATCTTGTTGACATCCATTGAATCTAAATAACCACAATCTATTGAGGCTCCTAACATTTCCTCTACTCTTAAATGATCACAGATAGCTAAATTGTAAGAACTAGGGTTTTCCACGATACAAAAATCGGTCTTTAGAGATTAACGGCTACATTATAACAGCCTTCAAATGTCATTTTGAGTGTAGAAGCATCCATGCGTCCCTCTCGTTCTCAATAAACGTACCATCAATAGGAATTGTTTCAAAAAATTCCGTACAAAGCAGCTGTTGTTCCCTAGCTCCAAATTCTAACTCACCAAACAAATCGATGCTATTGTCACGACTTAAAGCATCAATTAAGTCTCAAAATAACACTATCTGGAAAATTGTAAGAGAGCACACGATACTGTGTGTAGCAATGGTTCGCTAGAAATTTATCTGGAAAACTAATATCAAAAAGGACTTCAAGTTACTCTTTAAGATATAAAGGAGATATTTTTCCTGCTATTTGTGGAATAAATAGCACACAGATTTATGGGAAAAAAACTTGGTTGCGCAGTAACAATGGCTTTGACAATAATCAAATTATAGGCTAGATGTTGAGTAGCCCAAGTTTGAACTTTACACTTCCCTATGCAACACAATTGGCCCCTCAATGGCAATGTCAAAGAAGATGCATAAAAGTTCGCCAGTCTCACATGCAAGCCCAGCAGTGGGAAACGAAAGCCATTAATCGATGTTATCCTCGAGAAAAATACGCATTAAATGGGCAAATCTCACTCTGATGCACAAAGGCCAATGGCTACCTGTTATGGAACAAATAACAGGGGCGAGTCAACTGGAAGTTCTCGTATTCCAAAGAAACAGGTGCTTCTTGTAAAAGCAAACCATCCAACCGGGAGTACAATTTTTTGTCAAAACGAGAAGCTCCAAATAGAAGCGGGCAGGTTTTGAGTTAAACCTAGCGTGTCACTCAAAAGACAGATATTCACTACTCGAGAAAGAGAAGATCCTTTAAGGAATATTGAGATCGACGCACTATCCTTGCCTAACAGGTTCAACTCAGAAAATACGCCTGTCTCCTCTCTAATCAGCACTTCAGGCCAAATCTCTGCTATCATCAGAAGAGATGAATAAACGCCTTATCAAAATGCTACTCTACCAAGCAATTTCAAAGATATCAGTTTCATTAGGGAAATCGAAACATCTAGTTAGGCCGTGGTCTGCACACATACAGGTGCAGATAGGTGTGGATTCGAGGGAGGGGTTCCCTTAGGAGTGGATTTCGAACAAATACGTTCCGTCTCTTGTGTACGTAATCTTTTCAAATTTCCTATATATCCCACATTCCAGTACTCGCCCGTGGATGCAATGTGCCCCATGCACAGATTCATTGAAAACTATGGAATCAAGAGACTGGAAATATCACTAGGAAATAACCCAAAGTCCATTCTATGAAATAAGCATTACATCTCCCAGCAAAGAAAAAGGGAAGGGAAAAAGAAGGACAAGAACGAAAGTAATCGATGAGTGTTCATGTGTTCGTTCCCAGTTTAACGAAAAAACAAAGCTAATTTCAGATATCCACAAAGTAGTTTTTTTGAACATTTGCAATCAGCGAGACTGATAACTGATCTGACCGGAAATCGGTGTCTGTTTAGTCTTCGATAAGCTGGAGCTAAGTTGTTGATAGTAAAGCTTATCGAGTACTAAGCCAGTACAATGAAATGATGGCCGACATTTCGGCGGTAGCGCCTTCTCTAGAGCCTCGGAAGGTCAAATTGACTCGCAACCTCCTCAGTCAAATGTTTTTGCAACCCCAGCGAAAAAAAATCTGACCATTCTAGGTTATGAAGAAAGCAATACTGACGAGATATTTGCTACTATTTTGAAAAGATTTAATACGATTTACTTTACTTAAATTTACTACTTAGATACTGACTCATATCAAAGAGATTGTAGAGAGTTGAACACCTGAGTAATTCAAATTAATGGAATTAAATATTAGAAAATTTGTTTCTGAAAACTTAGAAATTGTATGAAGAAAAACTGGATGAAAATAAAGCACAATAGAAATATGAAGTGACAAAATATAATAGAGAAATCAAAACATCAAAAATATGCAAGAAAATGCAAGATTTATAGATAAGACTTGTATAGTTAAATTTGAGTTGAATTATTCAGATCAAAGTTACGCAATTGTAATTTAACAGTTGATTATATATCTGATCTAAACTAATTTACTTAATTTTGATTTAAATGAATTTAGAATCGGAGTAAAATCTGCTCAAAACTGAGATATTTGAGTAGTAAGCAAATGTTGAGTGGATGAGTAGTAAGTGGTGGCCTTTGTGGCGTAGTGGTAGCACGTGTCTCCGGTATGGATGAACGCCGGTCCAATTCCCGTCTAAGGTTCGATTTTTGCTTAGTATTCAATTCTCTTAGGTACATTCGGAACATCATAAAACTGCGAAAAATCAGCAAAAATATAAGAAGTCTTGGATACACTCTAAGCGAATTTCAACGGATTTTACTCTTAACAACTATTCTTTTATCAGGAGCGAAAGAAAAACACAAAATTATCCAGACAGTTGCGTAATGAATGGAAAGTCGTTTTGAAAATTGCTACGCCGAAATGAGCGAGAGACATTACTACGAAAAAACACTGGCCTTGTCCTCACGCTGCTGACATTCGTCTTGCTTTTTGAAATGGAAACTTTTCTTTTCACCCAACTTGAAATTCTCATTCACACCGTTTCCGCTCCCACTAATAGAAGGTTGTAGCTCAAGGAGATGAGCCTGTGTCCATTCTAAAGAGCAAGAAACACATCAGTAGCGAGAAAACAACGGTGACGAGTCTGGAAAGGCCTCACTTTGAATAAAACTCAAACGATGTGGATACTTCTTTCTGTAAGATCGTCAGCTAACGCTTCGCCGATTTTTCCTTCCTTAGAGAGTCGTTAAGCCATCTGGATGGGAAAGGTCATGAACAAAGAAATATCAGTCTTGTGTGAGTTTTATTCGAAAAAGGTACATTCATGAGAAATTTTTTACCATTTGTGGCAAGCTTTAGTGAAAATCAATCTGTTCAAACTGTTACAAGATTTATTCGAAATTTCTATTTGGGAATGAGTTGGTTAACAAGAATCCTACTTCAAGCGAGAGTGAACCCATATTCCACTCTTATCAAAAGCGTATGCTATCACTACGCTATCAAGGTCACCGCTTCGCGACCACTCTTACTCTTTCTTCGATATGAACTATCGAAGTCGTCAGCAATCAACCTTTAACTAGTTCGTTCTGGTAAGCACATTTTGTCACTAAACCCAGTTGCTGGCAGCTTTTATGAGCTTTCGAATCAACATCATTTGAACGATATTTACTTTTTCGAAGAAGGTCAGATATGCCACAAAAACCAAGAGGGAACGGCAGAGCTAACGTCGACCGAGGCTTTTGTTTATAGATTGGGTGCTTTTATGCTATCCGTATCCTGTTTCAACCCCTAAAAAAAGACGTATTTTTTTGGTCGCTTTCAAAGCCTGAGTAGTTATTCAATAGCAAAAGAATTCAAATGGTGTATTTCGTTTTCAAAACGGCTTTATAATTGCGCTAGAAAAGCAAAAGTAAAACCATGTTTCGATTCAAACACTTCTCGCTGTATAAAGCTATCTCTTTGAGCTTTTAACAAATAATCATTGAATCAAACCTCGCCAATTCCATTGATGCATTTGGTTTTTGGGAGGGACTTCTTGGCGCGCCGTAACAATCCGAGAAAAAGATTGAATTTCGCAAACAAGGCACTGAAAAAACCAGGTTGGAATGGTGTTGATGTTCCGCTACGCAAAACTTAACGTTCTTTTGGCTGCTACGACGCACTGAAAAGTGCTTCTTGAACGGAGCACAGTGTTGAGATCGCCGAGGTTTTATTGAATGATTACCAAAAATCTAAAGGCAAGGCTCTGGTCAATGTTGAATATCTGGATGAGAAATATGGTTTTATTTTGGCTGTAACATGCATTGAGAAGTTCGTATTAACGATTAAATACATCATAGGAATTCATGGGACTTGGTCGATCGATTAATCACTAGAAGTATAGAGAAAAAGTTTTCCTCAATGAGAAATATTTGAATGAGAAACAGAAATTTGTTTCCGCTGTTTTAGCATAATAATGAAGGCATTCTGAAAATAAATACATCATTCAAATTTATTTCCTTTAGATTATTGAGCGATTACTAAAATTTTAAGAAAGCCTTAAAACTTTTCTTGAGAGGGTCAAAACAGAGCACGGACAGAACGAAAGTACCATCGAATGCCTTTATGAAGGGCACTTTTACAATCACACACAAAACCTACATTGCAGATCAAAGGTAGGCCAAGAGTAGATTAAGAGCCGCTTTTTAGCGTAAACATTTAGGGCGGCGCAGTAACACAATCTTCATGAACTTCATCAACACCTGACTAAGACCGTAAAGAGCCAGAAAGCCTCAAAAATTGAGGTTCCACGTCGACGAAGAGACGTGGATGTTGAGAGGAGAAGGCGAACTCACCGCAAAAGCCCGGCAATATCTAAGGGTGAAGGGGAGGAGGGAGAGGCTGAGCCCAAGCACTTCGTATTTACACGGGTGGAACTTCCACGTGGGCCAAATGAGAACGATTTCAAATTATTGATGAATAAACCTAGGTGAATCATGATGACGACGTCACTTGCTGACCTCATTTTGATCACCTCGTATAAAGCGACGACACTCCACACTGCGCCATATTGCGGATATGTCTCTATTGTTTTGTGAATGTTTATCGGATATAGGTGCAAATCTTCAGTCATCTGTCGGATGTCGTTGCAGTTATTAGGCCACCTACTAGGCAAACACTTATATATACCCATATATGCACGTACACGGATATATATGTATACATATATAGATCTGCCACGGACCTCCCTCTTTGAGGGATCCCGCCCGGTTAGTCGCGAGGGCACGTGGCGCGTCCCCAGGTGGTGGATAGGGGAATAAAACGCGAACCAAAAGCGACCGTGTGCTTCCCAGAGACGCAGGTGGATTCAGGGGACGAGCTCCCTGCTTCTGCAGTGCCGACTTGACAAAACTCTATTTCTACGAGTCAAGTCGGCCAAAAGCCTGCAATCAAGCGGCTGGGAAGTACATGGGAGGCGGTTAGGAGTCGCCTCCAACAAATAAGCTCCTCCCGCTCCTCCGAGAGAGACTGGCAAGCTACTCGTGAGTACCCAGCCCCCACGTTTAGAGCCTGGCAAGCTACACGTTGGGTATTAAAAATGCCAAAAACAGTAACAAATATGGGCCTCATTCCCCTGACCCCGAAAGAGCCCCTGGTACGGCAGCGCCAGGTAGGACGAGTACGGAGAGGCTGCTAAAATCTCAGGGCCGAACTAGGCTGCCAAGATCGAAACGGACTAAAATGACGATCTGTACCTACAATGCAAGAACCCTTGCTCAACAATCCGCTGTAGAAGATCTGTTGATTCAAGCAAGAAGAATAAGGTACGATGTCATTGGCCTGGCTGAGACGAGAAGGCGCCATCCTTTTCACGCTGTCTATGACACCGGAGAAGAACTGTTCCTTGGAACATGCGATCGCAGAGGTGTCGGTGGCGTTGGCGTCCTCGTCAAATCGAATTTGACCGTGAACATTGATTCGTTCGAACAACTAACAACCCGCATCGGACGATTACGGTTGAAACGATGTGGTTCTATGCCAGCTTTGACCATCTTCGTTGCTTACGCACCAACATCAAGCTATGACGAAGACGAAGTCGAAGCGTTCTATATGGACCTCGAAAAATTCTTCAGAGAAGATCATACATTCTTCAAGGTCATTGTCGGAGATTTTAACGCAAAAATTGGACCTAGAAGAACGTCTGAAGAATGTCACATAGGGACCCACGGACTAGAATGGAATGAACAGGGTGAGAGGCTATCTGAGTTTATCATGACGACCCAAACCATCCATGGTAACTCGCAATTCCAAAAGCCTCTCTCTCAGCGATGGACGTGGGAGTCTCCCAATGGAGAGTACCATAACGAAATAGATCACATCATAGTAAATCGAAGGTTTTGCCTGACCGACGTCGCTGTTGTTCCCAAGTTCTACACGGGATCAGACCATCGCCTCCTTCGCGCAACGTTCCGATTTTCGAGGAGAGGAGAGAAAGCCGCTAAATACAAACAACGAAGTCCCAGAACTATTATAAACTGGGATGAATTCAGATCATTAGTCGGCTCTTGGGAAGATACCGTTGTCGACAACATCGACGAAGAATACGATCGACTCGTTGAATATCTTCACGTTGGCGCTAAAAAAGCCGAAAGTCCTAAGGTCACGAAGAGACGCTTGTCTCCGCAGACACTCGAGCTGATACGTCAACGTGGAATCGCACGAGCCGCAGGCAACCGAAACCTTACGTCCGAACTTGCGAAACGATGCAGAGAAGCGATAAAAGAAGACCTTAAAGAGAGAAGAGCAGCAGTTATGGCAGAAGCTGCAGAAGCTGGGAAGAGCATTCGCAAAGCCCAGCGAGGCTTCGCCAACTATAAGACCAAGATGATTGCACTCCGATACCCTGACGGGACACTCACAGCTTCCAGAAGGGCTATGGAGAAAATCATCCACCAGTACTACTCGGATCTCTTCGCTAGCCATGTTCTCTTACCGTCATATAAATTGAAAGAGGACGAATATGTCGTTCCACCGGTCCTTCCTTCCGAAATCCGACATGCTATATCGTCGGTGAAAAACAGAACAACACCCGGTCCAGACAGGATTAGACCAGAACACCTGAAGAACCTACCGCCAGTTCTCATCAACACCCTGGCTCGGCTCTTCACTCGCTACCTGTCAGAATGCAAGGTCCCTATTCAATGGAAAACCAGCAAGACCGTATTGTTGTTCAAAAAGGGAGACCTTCACGACATAGGCAATTATCGCCCAATCTGCTTGCTGTCCGTTGTCTATAAACTCTTTACTCGAGTCATCCTGAACAGGATTGACAGAACACTGGACGAAGGACAGCCATGCGAACAAGCAGGGTTCAGAAAAGGATTTAGTACCATGGACCACATCCACACGATCACAAGACTCATTGAAGTTTCGCGAGAGTACAAACAACCACTCTGTCTCACTTTTATCGATCTGAAGAAAGCCTTTGACTCAGTGGAAACAGAAGCGGTTATAGAGGCTCTGGATAACCAGGGCGTCCCTACTCGGTACATAATGATCCTTCGTGAGCTTTATAAAGATTTCACGACCAGAATATCTCCATTCTACAATAATATCACCATTGACGTAAGAAGAGGGGTTCGACAAGGCGATACAATATCGCCAAAACTATTCACTGCCACCCTACAAAACGTCATGCGAACATTAGAATGGGACGAAATGG